TCCATCATACTTGGTTCTCCAGATGTGGGGCTCTAAATCAGGACCTGAGAAGAAAGGAATCTAATTCTCAACAGATACTCCCTTAAATCTCCAAACACACACTCTAAAAGTTACCTCAAATTAGTCATTTGATGTCCATGATGTGCCATGGACATTATTAGAAGTTAGTTAAAATTCAGGCAGAGGTACCAAACAAAGAACTTCATAAAGTCCAGGTTACACCCTGGAAGATGGTAAGAGGGATTATGATAAACACAGCAGATGAGAAAGAAACATCATAAATTAATGAGGGAATCTGGTATTTTCCTCCAGACAAGGCGTCTGGACCCATTCCTCACAAATATCTTTGTTAAGGAACTTACTGACTTCATTCAACACCTACATCGGGCACCTACATATTCTAGATTCTATGAAAGGTACAAGGATGGAGAAAAGCATATACCCTACAAGAGATTACAGTCTACTGGGGGAGATAAGACACATATACAAATAACTACAATATGAGGTAGAAAATGAAAACACATGGCTGATATATAGCCAAAATGCTGAAGACAAAACATGGAAGTAAGCTGGATCCCAGAAGAGAGAAATGAAACTGTTACTTACAGGATCATTCAATGTGGGTTTTAAAGTTACACAAAAGGAACCTCAAATCCTGATTCTGCCTCTCACTTCTTACAAGTCCCAGGTGTACTGTTTTAACTGCTGTGAGCCTCTGTTTTGTCACACATACCATGGGGGTAACAATAACCTGTTTCGCAGAATTTCAGAATCCATGATTTACACATTTTTGAAGAGTTTATTATAGTATCCAGCACAGAGTCAGACTAGGTAAGGTGGAAGGGCCACTGCACAAAGTGAGTTAACGCTCCTCCCCTCCCCACATAAGGCTATCTGGACCTAACTCATGCACAGGCACCTGGGCCCCTGCTCTTTGTTCATCCACTGTGCCTATTAGTTCAGTTAGCTGCCCAGGTTAAATGGGAACGTGGTCAGGAGGTACAAGGAGGAGAGGCAAAGTGTGTGTATATGTGCATGTTCATGTCAGGATAACACCTGGAAGCACACACCCAGCCTTCTGGTAAGAAAGTGCAGCATTAAAATACAGGTAAAATTACAGATTGTACCATGTATAGCATGGTACTGAACCGTGCTATTTTTTCGGACACAGGTGTCCAATAAATGTGTGGCAAATTGACATGACCCGAATCTGGTTGAATTCTCAAAATCTGTCTCAATGGATCCATTTTTCAACAAGTGAACACAGGAGGAAAAAGACATCCAAGGTTAAAAATTGGTCTGAGGTGACAATCTGAGGGACTTCTACCTCCAGTCATGATGGAATAACAGGGACCAGATTTATTCTCTCTCCTTAAACAACTAGAAAGCCAGATATAACATATGAAATAATAGTTTTCAGACATTCAACGATAGGCAGCACATGGCAGTGATCCTTGAGTAAAGGGAAGGCAATGCAGTGAACCCTACTAGTGCCCTACCTCCAGGACTCAGAGTAGAGAGGAGAAATCTGAAAGAATTCAACAATCTCACTGAGTCAGAGACAGAGTTGGGAATTTGGGGAGATGAACGTGGCTAGAATTTACAGGGCAAAATAACTGAAAAGAAGCCACAAAGAGAAAAAGCCCCAGAGATCAGTAGAGAGATCCCCTTGAGCCTTTGGCTGAGTACTCATCTGTGCATATGTGTGAGGAAACTAGCAATGCTAGGGAAAGAATAAACGGAAAGAAGTAGGTGGCAAACCCCCAGATTTCACACAGAGCCAGAAATATTCATGTTCCATTGGCCAAAGTGGAAAAATCTCCTAATACACAGGGCATCAAATGCAATCTTCAGAAGGATTTGGCCTTAGTAGTGGGACCATCCCAACCCTAGACTAAAGGCTGTTCTGGACCCACCCTAACAAAGCGAGAAAACAAGCCTTGAAATGAAAGGATCGAACAAATTCCAAGTAACTGAATTGCTTCGGAGAACAAAGCCCAAAAGTATTGAAAGGAATACAAAAAGTTCCAGCACCCAGAAAAACAAAACTCACTATATTTAGGTTCAAATAAAAAAAAAAAAAATTAAGAGGAATGCAAAGAGGCAGAAAACTATGACCATAACTAGAATAATGAAACAATAGAAATAGGCATAAAATTGACCCAATGATAGAATTAGTGGACAAGGATGTTAAAATCTCTATTATAAATATACTCCATGTGTTCAAGAGAGAGAGGAAGGCATGAACATGATGACAAAAGAAATGGAAGAGATAATAAAGACCCAAATTGAACTTCTAGAAGGAAAAATACAAATATCTTAAGGAAAAATATGTAGGATAACATTAACAGATTAGACACTGTAGAAGAAGAAAATCATGAACTCGAAAACAGAGCAAAAACTATCCAAAATGATATACACAGAACATCAGTCAACAGTGGGACACTATCAGGCAGCCTAACATACATACATATATATATATATATATATATATATATATATATATATATATATAACATATACACATAACGTGTGTGTGTGTGTTGGGGTGCGGTAGGTAGACACAAAAACATTTTTCAAGAAATAATGGCAGAAAATCTTCCAAATTTGATGAAAACTATAAACCCACAGATTCAAGAGCTCATCAAACCCCAAGAAGGACAAAAAGAAAACACAAGACACACCACAGTCAAAATGCTGAAAACGAGTGATAGAGAAAATGTTAAAAGCAGCCGCAACAGGTAGGGGTAAGGAGAGACATACTGCCTTCAAAAAAGCAAAGGATTATAGCAGGTTTATTATTAGAAACAATGCAACCCAGGAGGCAATGGAGCATCATGTTGAAAGTAATGGGAAAAACAACAGTCTGGCACTGGTTAAGGAAAAATTGACAAGAACTATGAAGTTCCCATCACTAATGCTTTTTGTGCTCTGAAGTAACATTTTTCATGGAGGCCTGTGTTGAGCATAAGATGGAGGGAGGAAGTGCTCAGTGGCCTTAAAAACATTTCTAAGTACAGTATCCTATGAAGAATGAAAAGAGGTAAAGACCCTTTCTTAGGTTCACACAGAGGGGCACTTAACCATGTTTTATACCTACATATTCAGAACATTAAAGTCTGTAGTTCTTATGCAGACTTATATCAATATTGCTTAACACAATGGTAAAGAGACAAGAAAGGTCTATCAGAGGATTCACCCCATAGCAAAAGAAAATCAAGTTTAGAAATAAAAAGTAAATCTCATTAAGGAATGAGTTAGCCTTACCAGCATCAGGCCTGAGTAGGCGCCCTGCCTTCAGGTATACATATCTGCTGGTTAATGTGCCTGATTGGCCTCTACAGATTCAGATGAAATGTTTTTTCAGAATGGAAGAGCGCTGCTTGAGCAGAAGTAGGTAAGAATAAAGATATGAATGAGAGTTACTCAATTCTTAAGCTATGCAATCCAGCCCAGGGCAGCAAAATCTCCTCATTAAGTACCCTGGGCTGGCACCACATTCTTTAGAGTCCAGCCTGCAGCTCTGCATCCTGGAAGGACCATTAAGATGGCAATTTATCTGTCCCATGCATTGGCTGGTCTGGTCTCCCCACTAAACTGTAAACTAAACTGTAAATGCCCTTTGTAACCCTGAGACCAACATACAGTTAAAACAAACAAACACCATAAAAACCCCAGCGTAGCCCAAGAGGGACCCTCCTTCCAAAAATACTTGTTGCCTGAACTAGAGGTTCTCAACTGGGGGCAATTTTAGCCCCCTCCCATGGTATCTGACAACATCTAGAGGTATTTTTGATTGTTCTAACTTCAGGGGAGGCGATGCTACTGACAGCTAGTGGGTAAAGGCCAGGGAGGCCACTAAACATCCTATGATGTTTCACTAAGAATTCAAGAAAACAAAGAATTCGTAACAAAGAATTATTTGGCCCCAAATGTCAACAGTGCTGCAGGTGAAAACCCTGGCAAAAGTGAATGAATGCTGAGTTGTAACAGATGCCCGCAGTTCTACCTTAGTTGTGCATATAGTGTAAAATTCCCTCACATCGCTAGAAAGCCTCTTGTCCTAACACCTGTCCCCAGAACAACACTTTGATCCTCCCATAGTCCCTAACTCGGGCTCAGAGTCCCTCAGAGGAGCTTGGGAGTTCAGACACCTGGCTTTTAACTACAGCTCTGCCACTAGCTAATTCTGAACATGTCACAGAACTTTTCTGGGCCCGTTTCCTCCTCAGTAAAACAGAGGGATTGGAAAAGATAATTTAAGAGTTCCTCCAGTTCTAAAAGTTCTATTTGAAATGCTAGGTTTGGCCTTATCTATTTACAATAAGCCAAAGAGAAAGGGGAAAGATCCAGTCTTAACTGTGAGTATGCACACCCACCATCTGAAGGACAGAGGTTCTTATACTGTGGGAACCAAACTGGGCCAAGGGGAGCTCCAGAGAAGCCAGGAACTCAGGCACGAGCAAGGGCCATGGGAAAGGGCTCTAAACAGTGGCTGAAAGGCCAGCCCAGGCCCTCAGGTTTAAACTATGAAAAGTCCTTTCCTAGCCTCCCTCCTGCCCTCTGCAGGTCAATCTTTTTAATCGGTGTTAAGAGGAGGAGGAGGGGTAGGAGGTAGACTTACTATTCCAACTATGGGTCATTGAACAGCAGCACGGGCAATCAGCTGGAAGCTTATTACAAACTTGCTGGAATCTCAGCCTCCATCCCTGATCTCCTGATTCACAATCTGCACTGTAATAAAATTCCGCAGGTGATTCCTATGCTTGTTCAAGTTCGAGAAGTCCTAGCTTAGGGTATGCTGCCTTCTTTCTCTGCACTGTCACCTCTTCACTTGGTAAAGATGACTTTAAGACTCTGTCTACATTCCCCCTAATCCCACCTCCTGGTGCAGCTTGTGCACATGTGGACGTACGTACACACACACACACACACACCCACCCCCAGCTCAAAACCTCCAAACCCAGAGTCATCAAGAGTGACAGGGACAGGTTACTTACTTTCTTTCCCCTTGCCTCTTTCCTACGTCCACACAAGGCCAGAAAGAAGCAAGACCTAAAACACAAGCAAAATTAGAGCTTTTGTAAGTGACTCAGCCCACCCCCGCTGTTCAACGATTCCCTGGGAGGAGGGACAGAAAATGGGGGGGGCGAACCCAAAGGTACAAACTCTGATGGGAAGAGTCTCATCATTTACATCTGAACAGAGACCAACAGGGGTCCAAGGTTTCATTTCTAAAGTTTGTTTTTTGCTGTTTTTGCTTTTTTCTTTTTGCTGAGGCTGTCTTACATTACATAAAGATTCTTGGGGGCTCGGGCTAAAGGGCAAGGCACACACACAGAGTAAACAAAAACGCAGCAAGGGTTCTCCTAGCACAGTGGTGGGGAGCAGCAGCTGGAACAAATGCAAGACCTCAATGAAGAGTAGCATAACAGAGCACTGGAACAGAAGACAAAATGTGGGGAGAAAGGGGGCTGGACTCTGCTGAGTAGTCCGCGCAGTGAAGATTAGGTTGCTGCTCATCCCTCACCCTACCCACTGTCACCAGCAGCAGATGGTCCAGCCCCAGGCAGCTGGCAGCAATGCAATCTGCACGTGCCTGCCTGCCCCACCCTCAGGGCCGCAGATGGGGAAGAGCAGGGCAAAGTCCAGATCCATCCCTGGTCAAAGCAACACTGAGAAAGAGCACCCCCAAGGCAGGGTGGCAACATCACTTAATGCTCTGCCACACTGAGATGAACCTAGAAAACAACTCTCAGCATTATCCAAGGTTCTCCTGCACCCACACACAGCTCATCAGAAAGAGGGCTTGGTAAGGTGGGGAAAAGCCAGAACAGCTCCCTGAGAGCACTGGGTGTGTTGGCCCAGGAGGGGTCATTTAATCATTCAGCATTTGCATGCACATACCACATTCCAGGCACCACACCGGCCAACTGGGAGTGCAGTGGTGACAGCACAGGGTCTCTGTCCTCAGGAAGCACAAGGAAACAGACATTAACACAGTGGGGTAAGTGCTGAGCACCGAGTGATATGGAAGCACAGAGCAGGGGCACCCCACCAGTACAGGGGCAAACAGTGGTCTAAACTGACACTGACTGTAAGAAGGGGCACTCCAGGGAGAGGAACAGCATGTGCAAAAGCCTGGAGGCAAAAGAGAACTGGGAAGTGCAAGTTTTTCTGCCTTTTTGGCCTCTGGTCACCCTGACCAGGAGCAGACTCATGGGTCTGTGTGGGGATCCTAACACATTACTGTCTAAAGGAACCTGGGGTCTTGGGGTCATCTTGTAAAGTCCAATCTATCCATTTTAGGAGGGGAACTGAGGTCCAGAAAGGGGCCATGACTTGCCCAGGGACATGGCTTGCTGGTGGCTGAACCAGAACTCAGTTCTCCTACCTCTTCACTTAGGCAGAGTTCCCTCAAATATCCCCCCATCAGAATCCAACCACTGAGCTCCATCAGACCTAGTGCCAGCCCCAGCACTGTTCTCCACTGTGCTCTGTCCATTCGGAGCACCCAAGGCTCGGCTCATGTCCAGGCCTCTGCCGGATGAGGAAGTTCCACAGCATCAGCCTCCAGGAACTCCAGCGTGGCAGGAGCAACTCATGAAAAAGCAAGAGTGGCTACCTGCCTCCGCTGGAAAAGAGGCAGAAGGCACACACAGCAATAATCAAGGTAGGTTGTAGTTTTTGTGGAGTGTTTGTTGGTTTGTTTTTGAGGGAAGGTTTAGCAAAAATGGGCCCCCCCTTGGAAATGAAGGAGGGCTGTTCAGAAAACTGGAGGGGACTATCAGTCAACACAGAAACAGGAGATGAGTCTGAGTGACTGCCAAACCAGGCAAGCTTAATTAAGACTCTCCTACCCTTTCCCCAGGAAGCCCACCCCTCATCTGGCTGATCATACTAAACGAGCTGTGGGAAGCAGTCATTTTAGAGAAGCTGAAGGCCTCAGTTGGCCTCGCGTTGGGGGATGGGCCAGCAGCCAGGGGGCCAAGCCACTGGAACTTCAGGGCACAGCTGCCCTTAGTGTCATATCTGCCTTCAACAGCACTTGCTCTATGAAGGTCCCTCAGCCTCCAGCCTGCCACCCACCCACTCTGGATCCATGTGTGCACCCTGGAAGTACTCATTAGCTTTGCGAGTGTAACCCGCTATAGAATCTGAATAGAAGGCACAGTTACTCAACTGCAAAGCAGAATTCCTCCTCTTCTCATAACAAAACAAAGATGCATGCCAAACAACCAGCTAGCTGGTGGAAACTGTGGAAAGAGGCTAAGGGGCACTAGAGTTAAGCCCATTTACTAACCTCATTTAGATGCCTGGCAAACCTCTGCTCCAAGGCCTTAAAGCATCAGTATGATGAAAACATCCTCAAGATCAGAATTCTTTCCTGTCCCAAATGCCCTTGGATACCACCTCTGACCTCATATCCAAGTACAATCCTGGCCTTGAGTGCCAGTGCCAGACTTACTCAGGGGCTGAAAAGCAATGTTTGGTCTAATACAACAAAGGGACCATAATGGGTACCTTGCGTCCTAAATTCCTTCATATCTGCCACAAGGAACCTCTGGGTGGAGGGTGTGTGTGTGTGTGTGTGTGTGTGTGTGTGTGAGAACCTCTGGGTGGAGGGTGTGTGTGTGTGTGTTTGTGTGTGTGTGAACCTCTGGGTGGAGAGGGTGTGTGTGTGTGTGTGTGTGTGTGCGCGCGCTGGGGGATAACACTATAGCCAGACTTCCTTTTCTTTCATCCAAACAGCAAACCTTAAGAACTTGCCTTCCTGAAAGACAAATGCAGTTCATTTCCAAACATCACTGACAGAACTTCTTGTTTTCTCTCTCGCTTTTTAAAACAGATGAATGCTCCCCTAGGGAAAAAGCAGCTGTAAATACAGGAGAGGGTAGAAAAAGAATCCTGCTATGAGTTTCAGAGGAACCATTATACCATTGTAAAAAGCATTCTCAAAAGAACAACACACCCAATCCAAACAGAAAACACACTTCATTCAAAGTACTTCTCTCAAGTATAACCTTTGGGCAGATGATTTCTCTATACTCAAGGCTGTTTCTTCCTCTACTCAACACCATGACCTTCACATATAGTGAGTGATTTTCTTCCCAGGAGACTTGGAAAGAACTAGCTCACAACTCAATGTATCTGCTACTTAGTGCCTATCATCATCATCACCATCATCGCCATTATCATCATCAAAGGGCTAAATTTCATTTCTAAACTGCTATAGAAATTTAAGCAAATATAAGCCATTGTTTTTAGACAGACTGAGACCACAGTATTTACTAGCTGAGCACAGGATAAGAAGAAGGAATAAATCGGAAACAGGCAGCCTGGCTTCTGCACTTATTACTTTCCAAAAAGAAGAGCATTTTTCAAAGGCTCAGAATTCTGGGAAATCACCCACTGGCTTATTATACCCCTCCATCCAACAGTAATGAGGCTGCCACCTCGGAACCCATTTGCCAAAAATAAAAGATCTAAAGAGGTGTTTCACAGAAAGTTTGTGAGAAGAAAATTCAAGCTGGTTTTATTTTCATATAAGCTACAATTAAATGGCTTTGCCTTTGCAACCACACTTCCTACCTCAAATTCCAGTAAGTTTAGAAGTGCCCCACAGACTTAAACTGGATTGCAGGGAATTCAGCTGGCTAAGACTGGTCCCAGCCCACAGCCATATTAGTAACTAACCTGTTACACAGTCCTAGGTGGGTCTGAGAAATAAAAGGGGATTGAGGAGAGGGTAGGCACGATGCTTAAAATTCTGCCGAAGTCAGAAAAGGAAGACACTGCTTTTAATTTCATGTAAGATTCTATTGTTAGAAGGGAAAATGCAACATAAGCTATAAGCCCCATCAGTGACAAAGCAAAAAAAGAGAATGCTTGTATTTGCAGAATACATTCATACCCCCAAATTTCTCAATCAATACAAATGCCATTAACACAAATAAATAAAATCCTGAGTCCAACAGGTCTGCTCACTGTTGCCCCCTAATTGTCTATTTTTTTAAGCTATAAGCTTCCCTATTGACCAGGCACCTTTCATCCTCCTTTTGGGAAGATTCACCACACAGGCATCTGGCCTCACAATTCCCCAAGAACCCTGGTAACCTAGTATGACCACATTTTCCATGTGAACCATGGAAATGAGAATGTAGGAATCTCAGAATGAGACAAACTCTTGGGTGACAAGCCTGACCCTTCCAGGTCTTGGTTTCCAGAGCCCTAGAACTTCTCCTGGATGGTTTTTGGGCCTCCAGTCCCTATTCTGCTCCAGACCCTGCAGAATTCTGCTAGGAACTACACTCTCAAAGCACTGTCAGATCACCTTTCACCTCTAATGGCTCACCTCTGTCTACCCCATGCAGCATCATTTCCCGTCAGTCCTTTATCTATAGCTCACAAAATGCACAGAAGACACAGGTCCCACCCCACCTTCAGGGTAGCTGGGGAGGCTGCAAACCCAGACAGCAAACAATCAAGGCACACAATAAGGCAGGAGTATCTATTTCAGTATTCCATGTGGGTGCAATAAAATGCTAAATCGTGAGGTATGAATAATTAGAAAATAAGAAAGAACAAGCAGTAGCTGCTTGTAAGTAAAGGACAAAATAATGAAAACAAAAACCAGGAAGGGTCTGAACCAAGACAGTCAAAGAGGACCTTAAGAGGAAGGAAGGAAGGGAGGGGCTCCTGGGTGGCTCAGTCAGTTAAGTGTCCAACTCTTAGACTTCGGCACAGGTCAAGAGCTCAGGATCATGACATGGAGCCCCGAGCCCCGCATGGGGCTCCGCACTCAGCAGGGAGTCTGTTTCTCTCCTTTTGCCTCTCCTGCGCAGGTGCACACTCTCTAAAAATAAATAAATCTTAAAAAAAGAGAAAGGAAGGAAGGGAGGAAGGGAGGGAGGGAGGAAGGGAGAGAGGGAGGGAGGGATATCTGACCTGAAGGGAGGGAGGGAGGGAGGGAGATCTGAGAGTTGAATAAGTATGGAGAAAGAAGGAATTTCTCAGGCTGGAAGGCTGAAGTAAGCAAGATATAAATTGGGGGGTGGAGAAGGAGGAGGTGGGGAAAAGAGAGGGAAAGAGGCCAAGAATCAGAGAAAAACAGAAAGAAAAAAATCCCATTTGAGATTCTCCAGGGCATGGGACAATTCTTAGGGCTTCCCTATATCTATCCCTCGCAGACTCCAGTTATTCCACAAAGTATTAAGTATTCAACTGGATACTTATAGTAAAGCCAGTTTGTACAGCCATGAAAAACAGGCAGAGAAATTCTGCCTTGATGAGGAGGCAGTAGGAGCCAATGAACGTTCTTGAGCAAGAAACACAACCTAAGCCAACTGAACAAGTATTTATTAAAAGCCTACTATGTAAGGGGCACCAGAATACTTACTCCTTGCCCTCAAAGGGCACTGCCACCATGGAAAGGGATGGTTAATACCACCTCCCACACACGCAGGGCTTCATTCTCTTACCTAATCTCATGAGATAAGAACAATGTTCTTGGGAGATGAACCTGGCAAGAGAGACCAAAGCAGCCTAAGAGGTTAGACAGGATGATGGTCAGGTCTGGTCAGGATAGTGGCGACAAAAACCTACAGAAGTAAGAATTGGCAGGGGCTGGTTACCGAGTAGAAAGGAGGGGATCAGAGAGGGGAATCATTATGACAAAGAAGTCAGAGAGCAGGAAGACCTGGGTTTCAATTCCCAGATGGTGACATTATTTCAAGCCAGGCTTTCACCCTCCTCCTGACCGCCAAATGCTAAGGTCAATCAGCTCAGCCATTCTCCTATTTCTGGGAATGGGGGTTACACATTTCATCTTCCCATCTGCCCACGGTCTTTTAAGCTAGTTGTGATTTCCTGTAATTCCTATTTGC